GTCACGTTTTGAAGGGACAAAACCGTGACATATTCACGTCTCCCAGCATGGTAAAACGTCACATGTTCACGTCTTGCCGTGATACCGGGTTGCCTATAGTATACATTGGAATGATTTCAAACCTGTTTTTATTTATCCTAATAATTATAAAGGAGTGCCTCGGAAATATGTGTTCACATAATTTGTAAACACATATTTGTTTGAGACCCACTGAGATAACTTAGACTAAAATTAACTATCTAAACACTCAGAGAGTCCTTTACCTCACTGAGCCTCTCAGTCTGACAGGAGAGCTCTCCTCCACCCTGGTTGTAGAAACATCTACTTCTTATATCCGTTAGCGCAGCTAGCACCAGATTCTAATAACAACAGCGCCGGTACCGGTGCGCCCTCTCTCGCGCTCTCTCGCTCGCTCTCTCGCTCCCACGCTCGCACTTTGGCTGTGAGCTGCGGGCGCCTGATAAGCCAACATCCCCCACTTTCATCACTATGTCAAAAGTCGGCCCTGCCAGTACATACAGTGGCAATGTCTCCAGATTTAGCAAAAATACACCTTTATTGAACATACAGTAACACAAATACTACAAATCCACATAACAAACAATCAAAAACGAAAAAGGGTTATTATTTTTAATTAAATAGCTGCGCCGCCGCTATTTGTATATAGGGGAAACACTGATATAGGTCTGCTCTGCATATCAGGCAGCTCACTGTCACTTTGTTGGATTTATGGGTTACATTACATCTGACATGAAGGCGCACAACTCTTTATCACAAGTCTTCTGAAATACCCACACTGGCCCATCAGGTAAAGTGTGTAGTTTACCCTGCATAAAACAAAGAATGACAACTGACTTTGGCCCAGTTTGGACTTTGAGCAAGGTTACTCACAAGAGAGATATTTGTTTTAGCAGTTGGCTTTTTACCTGAGCTGAATTGCAAAATAATGACAACATGTAAGTAAAAAGATTAATAACGAATGGTGCAATCAGGTTTTGGAAATCTGAGCAATGCAGCATTACGGTTTAATGTACACTCAACAGGTTTATTTCACCAACAATGCAAGTATGCAGTGAGTCTGTCGCTGCTGCTCATTGATTTTGGCCGCTTGCTTCTTACAAAAGTGCAACCGTGGTTTTGTTTGTCACATGGAGGCATTCACCTCTACACAGTCAAAAGCCTGAGTCATGAGTAGTAAAGTAAATATACTCAGTAATCAGATCAATATCCCGTACAATGTTCATTTTGACAGAAACAAAAGTGTCAGTCGGTACATTGATGCTTTGAGCTAAGTGCTAACGTCTGCAGGATGTGCTGTTGATAATGCTAACATGCAAATGTTTAGCAGGTTTACATCTTAGTTAGGTATGTTAGCAGGCTAACATACAAAAAACAGTAAGTAGAGCTGATTAACCATTAATCTCAACAGTTATTTGACCAAGCTGACCAAGCCCAGAGCCAGCTGCTAGCAGGGCTAAAAAAGTGACAAATTAGGCCTTTACGGCTAAAAGTATATGATACACTGTTTGTTTAAGAAGTAATAATAATAATAATAATAATAATAATAATAATAATAATAATAATAATAATACACTTTATTCAAATAGCAGCTTTCATGCAAGATGCAGTCCAAAGTGCTTTACAGATACACAATAAAGATGGGGGAACATTCTTAAAAACAAGTTATAAACAAAGAGAAAGAGATATATCACAGAACCATAAAACAATAAAACATGAACAGTAATACAACTAAAATGACCTCAAATTAAAAAGATAGGTCTTTATTTTACTTTTTAAAACTCCAATGGAGATGGCTATTCTAAGATCCAAATGTTCCACAGTTTGGGGCCATAAAAACAGAAAGCAGCCTCCCCAGATTTCTTGTAACAAACTAGGTATCAGTCGATAGCATACTTAGTTCGAGCCCATGACAGACCTATACAGGAGGGGGAAACAGCCAATGGGTCAGTTTGATCCTAATTTCATACTGATCAATATTTCCCAGCTCGGGCTGTGTAATATCTATCGATGTGGACTGGATGTGTTTGATATGATGCGTCTGAAGTTGCACACTAAGTGCGTGATAGCGAGCAGACACTGGGTCTCTCTCTCTTCTCTGTCTGTTTCATTTGGGGGGAGTGCTTAGTCAACAGCAGAGGCTTTAAATACAGCAGAGTTTATACTCTGTCCTGTGTTTATGAGTCACAGGACAGAGTGGACAGAGGTAAGATTGGACAGGGTTTTTTGTTGGGCTTGATGAGTATATAACTGAATATTGAAATATGCAAAACCATTGTATTTGATTTGAGTTTGTAGCATTTGAGGGGAGTTTTGAAAGTAGTTCATTAATTGTAAGGGAGCACTTTTAACCTCTTAATATAATCTGAATTCAACAGTTAGCCACTGTCTGCAGGACACACAAATGTTCTTCATTCATGTTGGTAAAACTGACATTTTAAGGTTATTTTAAAGACTCTGACATACTCACTGAGATTATACTTGCAATGTAATCACTTTACTTCCATTAATTTTACTTTGACGATGAAAATTCCCATGTATCCATTTCTACTGTTAGTTTGGATGTTTGTATGCTGTAAATATGTTTGTCCAAGCCTCTCTTTGTATTCTGCTCCCTCTCTCCTATTCTTCTGTGTGTTGGCTGTTTACCCCATAATAAACTCTTTTTGCAGATTATCTCCACATGCGATGAGAGAGACAATGAGGGTTTACTCGTTTAATTATTTGGGGATCAGACTGACTGGACATTTGGTGCAGGGGAAACCTGCCAAAGAATCTGCTTTTATCCCAGTCTGGGCACGTGCTGCCCTGCATTGTAGTCTACAGGCTGCTTTCATGTCAACATGATTGCAATATCATATACAGTTTAGAGGCTTTAGCACACAATCTAAGGTTGATTATGACTTTTGTTCAATAATATGCATACCTTCAACTCTAGTTTATGTATGTTTAAGGTGAGACAATTTAGGCAATATAAAATATTTCTGAGACTGTAGATTTCTCTTAATTTCACAAAGTTATTGTAATGTTAAAGAATATCTAATTGACAATTACTACAATTATATTATTGAAAGTGTCACCTATTTTATTTTACCCTATTCCCCTATATTGTCTTGAATATGTATTGTATAACAATACAAACGTTGCTGTTTAATTACTATTTATATTCTGAAGGTTTTTACTGATGGGTTTGTTATCTAATAATTCTTAGCTCTTTCTAGAAAGATGGAGGAATCTTTTTTTGGGGGGCCCGGCCTTTTTTTTATTGGCTGTATTTTTGGATTTATAAGGGGGTTACAAAGAGACATCCAAAATCCCTTGTGTATAGATCCGTTGACCCCATTATGTCAACAGATTTAAAGTTGATTTTTGGCTTGATTTAATATTCAGATTTCTGTTTGAGTCTTTAACGGTCCCCTAATATGCTCTTTTTCATCAATATAATAGTTCTCAGATATATACAAAACATGTCTGAAGTTTTTGGCTCGAAATACCAAACAGATCATTGCAGCATCCCATAAACCCCTCTGTTTCAGCCCTGTTTCAAAAGTGCTGATTCTCTGTCTGATCCTTTAGATGAAAATAAGGAGCCACTCCCCACGCCCCTCTGAGAGATATTTGGTTAAAAAGAACACAATGGTGCTCTAGGAGGAGATTCCAAGCGCTGATAAGGAGTGGGCGGGGCAAAAAAAACATAATGCATCATAAAGTGGCCAAAAGTCTTGATGTCAGTTCCATTTTCAGACA